GAAGCAGGCCCTCCTTCACTGCCCCCACCGTCTTCAGAATATGACGTCATCTGCCGTCACCGTCGAGCTCAACGAGGCTTACCGTAATCGCTCCGGCCTGAAGCTGCTACATAATTTCTTCAATGATTAACTGGTGAATAGCTTCCCAGAGACACTAGCTGTGACTGTGCAAGACCGCTTTTGACCAGCGTTTCAGGGACGTCGTAATGGTCTATGGTACCTCGACGACCTCGTTGAGCTCGTACCGTGAACCATGTTTCCGTGGGAAAATCTTCTGATGTCGTCGGTGTAGAAGGCTGTCATGTAACCTTTTTGATAATTAGACTGTCTTCTTTAAAGGACGAATTCACGCTGGAAAGGCAACCCATTTCAAATTAAGTTAGCGATGGTGAGTGGTACACTAAAGAAGGAAAAACCATGAGAAACGGCCCAGAACCCGAACCTGAGAAATGGGACCCCTTCCTTGCCCGTTGATTTGAGCATTGATGCGACTATCATCGCTGTGCCCTCTTCAACACTACGCTCTCTCACCTATCTAATCACTCGCCACGTATAGACCTGCGGCGAGTGATCAGATGATCGGTGGGCGTGCACTGGCCCACCGCGCCAAGATTGAGCCTTAATAGGTCGCCGAGGTCAACTCCTTCGGTGCCAATTGCGCTTCAGTCCGCACCCTTAGGAGGTCCGCGGGTCCCTCAACTAGGTGAATTACTCCTTCTTCGACCTTTCATTCTAATCGTGAATTCGTCCTTTAAAACTGAATACCGCGCATTTTTGGCGTTTCCTGGCCGCCTGGGACTGCGGTGGATTTTTAAGTCTTATCAAGCAATTGTGAACAAAAACCTATTCAGTGATCTAGACGAAATCTTATTGCATGAAATGGGAAGAAGAAACAAAGAAAAACTGGGTGCTTGTTTCCAAAATATGGGTCGTAGGGTACCACACGGTTGACAGACTGCAGCCCACATATGAGGCTGCATGGGCTCCAAAGTGTTAATATAGCAGTTGAGCTCATATGCTTCTGTTTCCTAGCGTGTAATTAATTCCGTTTTCCATGTGAAAGGAAGTGACTTTTTTTGCTCCCCCCGCCCCCTGTATGTACACCTGTCCGATTAGACAATATACCCCATAATCTAATGGATAAGAGCAGTTCAGTTGTCGCAAAAAGGATGGCGAAGAAAATAATGAGTGTTTTTAGAATAAAAGGATAAAGCATTTGCCGTTGATCAATCCCTTTTTGGGATGCGGCACGCATTCTACTTCCATTTGTACATTCGTAGTGGCGTTTGAATGCGATGTGGCCTATACAATGACTTGCGGGGCCAGCCGATGTACAAAGTGTTTTTATCCTCCCAGACAAGTCTGGTACCAATTAACCGACCCCGGAGGGATGGAAGGCTTGGTTGGCCCGGGCGACTCACGACCCAGGATTTGATCGGGTCCTATCGTTGTACTTTTCGAAAATTTTTACGACCCCCCTCCCCCAAGGTGGATTTGGTACGACCCCCTTTTCGACCCTCGACCACCATATTCCTCTCTATAGTATTTAATTCTGATACCACTCAACCCACCAAACTCCGCCCACTTTTTCCTCCAAAAATGCGGGGGGGTATACGCGCGCTGAAACGGCGAATTTTTCTCCCGTGCGCTCCCAACTCACCTAGCCTACTACTCGTGGAAACTCGAGTTTCACCACAAACTGAAGCGGATACGGGGGGGGGGGCCGATCTCCCCCGCCCATCCAAGCTAACAAGTACGGCCCCGCGTTGGATTAGCTTGTAAAAATAGGTTGCCCTGCCCAGGACTTGATCCCCGGACCGCTCGCGTGGTAAGCGTGCCACTACACCACTTCTGCCCCCCCCCATGTTTTCGAGAGTAAAGAATTTTTTCATTGTTTTACTTTTTAGAGGATTCTTCCGTTAATTCATGTTTTACTTTTTAGAGGATTCTTCCGTTAATATTCAACCTGATACCTGCTACGCGTATTTACCGTATTCGCACTTCTGCTACGAACTGCGATGTAACAGTAGCACACAATGCTCTTATTAATAAGACTCTAGGGTAAATGAAAGTTTCATACTCGTCGCGCAGCACGTGGCGCCGAGTATAAACACGCGTGATCACTCGCGCCTAGCAGTGAACAAACGCAGTGTTACGCAGCGGGTGAATTGTTTTCACATGTACGTTCTGCGACCATGATTGCTATGCTGCTGTGAATAACCTTTCCGAAACGCGCCATCATTCCAACGACTTTCAATAATCCTGTTATTCAACCTAATACCTTCAAGGCAGGTGGGACAGTGAGGCTATGACGGAAAAGTTATGAAGTTTCCACTGAAGCATAGGAGTGTAGAAATGACCTCAGAATGTTTCACTACCAACAGTCAACTTCCGCAAATTTTCCAATAGGCATACAGATTCCTCGAGTCTTCCTGCGACAACCCAGCTCTGTGCCTTGAACCAGTGTAACGACCTACTCACCGTCACGTGGGAAGTACAAACGAGGCAACCTCTTGTAATGACGTTATCTCACATACCGTTAGCAAGACTTGTAGCTAACCCGCTTTATAAACAAGATGCAGGGTCAACCGTCACGTTAGACCAATTTCGAAAATTTTACGACCCCCTCCCCCTTCTAGAGGGCCTCGATACGACCCCCCTCACAGGTTAACCCTTTACCACCATACACCACCACCCTCGCCATCATGGGGGCGATTCTATGGTATTTGATTATTTTCGCACACAAAATCCCAGAAAACAACCCAAAACCATCCCTTCCCTTACTGTAACATTCACGCTTCCTCGCAAAATATGACCCCCCTTTTTCCCACCCCCTCGTTGGTCTTTGTCCAACGGACGGTTGACCCGACAAGATGTTTCAATCAGGACTCTGCCAAGCCCTTCGGAGTGCCCGTGGCGATATCAATAAGCAAACCAAGGTTTAAATCGTAACATGCAATGCCTGCAATGACAGCATAAGTGAAATCTCGATCGTTTGTTCTCCGGGCACCAGCTGTTCAATCTCATTGACACTTCGCTCACTCTTCAGCGCTATTCACTGATATCGGTGCTCTGACAATGAAGCCCTCACAACACATAAAGCACATGAAAACCAGGCAAGATTTATGACAGTGCTTTACGGTTACGTGCATCAGATTATGAAAGGGTAAACTACAAGCATTGTTAGAAACAATCCGAGTGAAAGAAAAGAAAAGAACCAAAAATAACTAAACATAACAAAAGATAATTCGGAGTTATGAAGAACTTCAGAATTACAACAACTTAATTTCAATTAAAATTCGATTACTAATTGGCATTATGTTTGACACTTTATTATAACGAATAATAGCAATTTTGGATTTGTATCACAACATGCAAGTAAAATACGCATTTGGCTCATATACCCATCATTGAGAAACTAACAATATACAGGGCGAACAATGATAGAACATTTCGCGAGAAAAAAAAAGGTGAAAATAAACTATTTTGAACAAGAATTCATAAAGAACGTTCAAGCCAAAACCGGGAACTCCTACATCTTATCACTGATAAGAACTGGTGAGCTGTTTCAAAAAAGTCAAAGCTTTCAGTTAAGCACTCCTTAGTTAGACTTTGTGCTGAACCACGCAGCAGAGGCTCTGCCTACATGATGAGACCAAAGAATGTCCCTAGCAGAGCCAGCCGTTCCCAAAGTCGACAAGACTGCCAACAATAAACCAATTGAGTACCCCATTCGCAGCGAGACGAATGGAGTACTCAATTGTTCTATCGCATGAAAAGTCTTGCACATGGTATTGGCACAAAGCGATAATTTTAGCTCTATCTCTTTGCCCCACTCTCACCTGGGAATCGCATCACTATACTTATAGGAGGATACACTTTTAGCGCAACCAGCATGATGTTGTATCTATCAAGAACTGAGATTTTGGCATTTTTTAAAGATTTGATTAATCGGTATTTCTCTGTTGCCTGATAGATTTGTCCCAGTATTGACTTGCACGTTCGTCAGAAGCAGACTGTTAATTATTACTGAGAAGACAATCTCGACATGCGCAAGTTGAAATAGGTTCAAATTAGAGAGGATGCATTTGCGGAATTGCATCACTCTATACTCATAGCAAGAATCGCATCAAGAAAAAAAAAGAATCTCAGCGACATCGAGTCGAGACGCTTTCATAAAGCTGCTGAGAAAGCTCTGTTCATCACTGGACCAGATATGATAATGGAGGACTAGCTCGTACGGCTTTGGTTTACAAAACGAATAGCTCACGACTTAGTGTTTGTTATATACTCTTCTGGAGAATCCAATAAAAATGTGACTGTCCTCAAACAGTCGCCCGATTATGTACGAATAAAAAATACTCATGAAAAGAACACAGACTTCTGGGATATAACAGGCAATTTCCGGTACTGCATGACAGGGCACTTATTGATAATGTTGAAGTCTATAGACAAGTAATTTGTTCAGCTGATTCCACATACTGTCCTCGTAATTCAAATCAAGGAACTCGTCGCTGAAGCCGCTTTGAACGTCACCTGAAATCGATACGTACAGCTAGGTAGTCCCTTGCCCAATCCCAACACGGGCTTTTGTTATAATACACGAGAAGAATAACAAATATCCAATTTCGATGCCAGCTCTCGCAATAGGAGCATATCCTTTGTTGCAGGACTATGTACATGGAATAAACAAAGACCCCCCACCAGCAAATACTGGGACAGCAGTCAGTCGACTAAGCTAACGCTTGATCCGCTGTAAACAACCAGCCATCTCTTTAAAATAACAATACTGCTAAGCTCTTAGTTTTTACTTTACGCTCCCAGAATGGAGGATAGTTGCAGCCGATGGATAAATAGGTCAATTTAGAGATGAGACAAGTGCACTCGTTACAGATAATGCAGCCACTTACTGCTCATATTACGTGGGGAACAAAAAAATAAAGCCTAATGACGTGGGCTGACAAGGACGGCATGCGGTAGCGGAGCAACTGACTTGATGTTCATTGCGAGATCCCAGCCATGCCAACCTGTAGAGATCGTCCAGCTATTTGAGTGCCATTTAGCGCTGCGATCGCGTTGCAAGCATCCGCGTAGTTCATCATGGTTACAAAAGCGTAGCCTTTACACTTCGCTGTCGCAAAATCACGGATCACCTGCAATAAAGGAAAATAACTCGTGATTAAAAAGAAATTCACAGTCATGTTGATACGTGAGAACCCTCAACCCCGTCCCGTGGAATGAAAACACAAGAGCAACCAGTCCAACATCATTGTCACACTTTACAACGCCTCCATTCATCATTTTCAGTGTAATTATTCAATGTTTGAAAGAAAGATTGGCAGAGGTGAAGCATCTGACGATTTCTACAACGGACAACGTCAGAATCAAATGTGCATGGGATCCTAAAGCACTTGGATCACCATGGCTGATGGGGGAAGACGTTAATCGTTGCCAGGACCAAAGCGACGATCTTCAGAAATCGAGGACGAGTGAATCGAGTAAGAATGTCACGCAGCTACTTTGCGCAGAAGTGAATACCGCAAGCCTCCTTGGACTCGTAAGCGTTGGCGAATTCATAGCAAGGTGATAATGAGAAAATGAACAACAACATGCTTGCGCTTGCCAAGCAATGGCAATGAGGAAAATTTGGAAGCTGTTTACCGGTGGAATTTTTACCCAACTTTTCATGCTTGCGCGACGTGAAACTGTTGATTCGCACCGCTAGCAAATTGATGTTTCTACCTTCCCCTTATGCTTGTATTTATGCACAAAACTCGAAAAGCCCGTTCGGTCTCAAATAGAAGATTGGCTCTGCGCAGATGTTGTTCGAAGCTGGACTGTACATGCTCTACATATCAGAATGTTGATTTCTTCAAGTAATGATGTACGCATGAATCAGTTGGACATAAGAAATATAAAATCAAAACAAAAACTCACTTTAACGCTCAGCACTGCTCCAAATGGTCCAAATAATTGCCAGAGTAAGCTATCCTCTGTATCCGGCCCTAAGTTATAAGCAAAAAGACAGAAACCGGCTGGTTCCGTAGCAGCTGCTGTCGGCGCTAATGCAGCCAGTTGGGTGGCTGCTGGAGCGGCTGCCGCAGCCATACCTAGAGTGGAAGATTCATTTTTCGGAGCGAACGACTACAATAATCTTAATTTGTGTTAAATTTGATGTTTGGGAGACCGCAAACGCACAATATTATCTAGTACCAGTGAAATAGGATTCAATTCCCAGGCCGAGTGTACAAACACTTGCGAGCACCCTGTAGAACTGAGCTTTATCTACTCTTTGACAGCCACTTTGCAAAAATTTCTGAAATAGGACTAACCCAACTATGAGGCAATTTGCACCAAAACAGAACAATCTCATGCTTTCAACTAAAATCAGTATTAATCAAGAATTGTCCTATACATAAACGACACGCTGAGATGAAATTTGTATCGAAAAATCCAGCTGTGACCTTGATGAAGTACGCAAAAGCACTGCACTCGTCCCTTTAGGCAAGATTTTCGAGCGGGCGTCTACAATTTCCAAAGCCAGAAAAGCAAGCACGCTGAAATTCGAGTGTTTCTAATTAAGCTTCCGCTTATCCTCTTTCTCTTTCGGCTGGCGTCATCCACGCTTTGTGACAGCCATCAATAGATTTTGTCAGAGTAATTCTGCTATCTTACTGTAATAAACAACTTTATGGAGAAAATTGGACTAGAGGGTTTGAGTTTTCGTAAAATTCTCACAAGCCTTTTGCTTGTTTTTTGATACATGAACAGTACAAAAAAGAACACTTTTAGCAACTACTAGGAGAATGTAGAGACCGATTCTATAACAACAGCGTCGGCGCTCTAATTTCGTGATACCCGAGCCGATTCCTCTGTTCACTACCATCAGCCGCAGAATCACTAAGTTGGAGAAGCGGCAGATAAACAACAAACACTGGGAAAACTTTCAGAATTGTCCCTAATTGGTAGCGTTGCGAATCAAGACAGACATATTCCGGTGGCCCTCAGACTGCGTGTGTGGGCCATCGATCGCCGAGCCGCTCTTCTCTCTTTGCAATTGAGCCTATTATTATGGCACGCAAGCGGGCGAGCGTTTGCACAAATGCAAAGTACACCGGTCCGACCTACATAAAAAACTTGCTACATTTTACGGTAAGCTGCGCGATCGCCAACTAAAGCGCCAAATTGGACATAGCTTTTTGTGAAAGCGACCTCCACTACACATCGCCGATTCTCATGAACTACTTTTGAATGCCCGAATTCATAAAATAAATCCTAATGGCCGATATTTGCTAAGCATAGCAGTGGTTGCTAAACTACTAACCACACCTAGAGCAAACATTAGTAAGAGTGAAAAAAGCTACCTGCCAGTGCGTTCATCTGACTCATCTGAAGCATGGTCGTGAGGTAATCAGCTGTGGCTTGTGCTGTTAACGTGGGTGCAGCAGCGCCGGGTATTGTATGTGCAAGGGGAGAGTACCTGCAAAATGACAACTATTCTTTGGTTAAGCTCAAAAACTAGAAGTAAAAAAATCAATGAGCATAATACAAAGGGAATTATAAAAAGGGTCAACATCTGAGAAATAGTTAGGGATCTGAGCTGAGCTGATCGACAAAATGGTCATGAAGCGACAACCTCACATGACGACAAAATATGAAGTTTTCAAACAACGAAAACGAAACAAAACATAGCCGGTAGGAATAACAACTCTGCACCTATATTTTGTTGCGAGAGGAGCGTGATGTATCGGTCCAATGGCAGATCGGAGAGGTGCGGCAGCTCCCAGTAATGAAAGCGGTACTAAGTTAGAAGCTGCCACTTGCTGTGCTGCTTCAAGCTGAAAATTCATTAAATGATGGAAGTCTAGGTGCATGTGACTAACTTTTTAGAGAGAGGAGAAGACAGGGATATTACTCTTAACAATGGGAAGCTTTTAGAACTTAGCCGAACTGTTTCAGTGCGCCTTTCCGTCTAAACGCACAAAAAATTGCTTTTTCTTGGTATCTCACCTCCTGAAGAACACTTTTGGCAGTGTTGGTGGCGGGATTATTAGCGAACTTCACCGTGATCTGGTCGACACAGCCGGCTGGTATCGTGCCATTTAGGGTTTGTATAGCCAGTTCAGCCTCCTCTTTTTTGTCAAATCGAACAAAGCCAACACCTTTCGATAATCCTGAATTACGTATAATAATCATGCAGCCCTTGGGAAAATAACTTGATTCTATCCAAAAAACCGTTTTCTTCAACAATTGTATTGGGTGACCGATGTTCAAGAAGTTTTTTTTTTACCTTGTGTAAGCTTTAAGTTGGTAGCAATGTCACTTAATTCTTCGTTGAGAATGTTTTTTCTCAAGTTAAATTTATAAAAGAAGTGCGAGGTTCATAGAACAGAGCGCCTGTCTTTCAAGAGCATTGCTACCATTTTCAGCTGCCGTGCTCATTACTCACTGAATGCTGCCAGTAGTTCTCAAAATCTGGTTTTCACAGCAAGTTAAATACTTGTATATTTAGTAACAAGGAGGGTGTATATAACGCCAAAACCTAAATAGGATTGAGTTACAGTATACGACTTGTTAATGATAAAGAAAGAATCTTCAGAATGAAGCAATGAAGTTCCAAAGCATTATTAGTGTCCTAATTATCTCACTATTCCGCAACAAACTCCAGATATACCAAGATGTCGTTTAAATCGGTTGAAAGACGAAACTAACTATACCAAATAACGTCATTTAAAATGTCATTTGAAAGACGAACTAACTGGACGGCGAATGAATTTGATAAATTTGTGGAAGCACGTACAGTCCATATCTCGAAGTCTGATTGGGCGTGTCACCGGAAATGACGTGGCAGCCACCGCACTTGATAGAAGTTGCGCGGATAAGCTGCTTCCAACACGCTTTGCTGATATCTGGCGGAGTATTTTATCCACACAACATCTATCAAGTGCGGTGGCTGCCACGTCATTTCCGGTGACACGCCCAATCAGACTTCGAGATATCAACTGTATTTACCATTAGAAGCAATGGAAACAAGGACTTGCCTGTGATATTGTCTGAGAGGATCCGTGATGTGATGATTTGTCCAAATGGTCGAAAAATCGCTTCCAACTCGTTTAAAGTCATCGACTTCGGGATACCAGAAACATACAGGTTCGAGCCTTTGATGTTCTCATTACTTGGCCGTGCATATGAAACCTGCAAAACGAGATTTACCAAGGTCGCAAGCGCTCATTTCATAAGCGCACAACACTGCGAGGATTCAATGTCCACCAAACTCTCATAGCAACAATCACTCAAGATATATTGTCATATTGGAAAAAGCTTCCATATATTTGAAGTTCGTGAGCTGATTCGACTTTTAAGTGTATAGAGGGACATTGAACTGAAGATTAAAAAATATCACGGCACGGGCGAAGGTATAGCAAAAAGAGGACAAAAAGCGCTATCGAATTTTGATGGGTACACATGAGTTCTTAAACGCCAGGGAAAGGGAAACCCCATGTGATCTACAAGCTAAACGACGTAGTGTAGTCATAGTGCTGCAAATTACTTAGCGAATTTCGTCTTGGTGACTCAATGATATCTGGCTCTTTAGCATGTAATGTTACACCTCTGATAATTTTGGCAGGGTCATAAATTTAGATAGAGTTGAAGGTTGGGAAAACAAGCATTACCTAGGAGCCCGTCATGAAAACCCACTGTGCGCAAGTGCGAATCTGGTTAGAATTTAGAAGGAAACGGAAGAGGGATAGGTCCTATCTCATGCCTAATGACACCCTGATATTCCCCTGATGCTTCTCGACCTTGCCCTGTATTCCCGAATTCCTAAAGGAACGGGAACTAGCAAGAATCGGCAGAGAGAGCAGCCCAAAATCTTGTGTGCGGAACGAGGTAGAAAAGGAAATGTTATTCAACGTCGAATATTACGCTCCACACCTTAGGCTGAGAAAGATCTACAAAGCAACTACAACCACACAAGCGCCTGCAGAAGGAGAACCCCAAAAGGTCAGAGTTTTTTGCTGAAACTTTGTCTGTAGGAGCCTCGGATGCGCTATCTCGACCACGACATCTATTTTTGACGCAGGCGCTTTTGGCCAAATATTCCGTTCAAATGCATCAAAATGGCGCTAAACGGCACCGGTGCCAGAAATAAATGCCATATTCGTGATCAGGGCACTGAATAAGTTCTATGCAAGTTTAGAAACGACTTTGGTGAAAACAGATACTGCACCGAAGAAGGCGCAAAATTACACCAAATGGCGCTAGCGACAAAAAATAAATTTTGTATTTGTTATCAGGGCGCCGAATTATTCTTGCAGGCCAACGTTTCGCCGAAAAATAACATTTTGATGTTTTGGGGTTGTAATAGATGGGTAGCTTTCAGCTATCTATCACTGACTTGTCAGGCAAGATATGCAACATGTGCACGAGACACTTTGATGTCAGTGCAGTGAGACGAGGTTTTTTCAAACCATTCATGCGGTCATTCCATCGTAGAGCCAGATGGTTAGAAAAGCATGTTTTCGCCAAAAG